TTTCAAATAACGTGGCCTTGAACGAGGAGGCTTGCCTGTGTCGTACGCACACGTGCCTGGCCCCCCTCCCGACCCCTCCCCAACATCCGGACTTGCAAACAGTGAAAACGAGCCATCCTGCTCCCCCCGCCCTCCCCTCAGGCTGTCTTCACCTTGAGCGCGATGGCCGTGATCAGGTAGGGGACCACGGAGGGGTCGGCGAGCGTGGACACATCGCCCAGGGAGTCCGACTCTCCGGAGGCTATTTTCCGGAGCACGCGGCGCATGATCTTTCCCGAGCGCGTCTTGGGCAAGGAAGGGGTGGGGCAGACAATGTCCGGCGTGGCGAAGGCCCCGATCGCGTCCCGGACCGCCTGCTTCAACTCCTTCTCTAGCGCCGGGCTCTCAAAGACGCCCTCCCGCAGGGTGACAAAGCAGCAGATCCCTTCCCCCTTCACCGCGTGCGGAAAACCCACCACGGCCGCCTCCGAAACGGCAGCGTGACCGACCAATGCGCTTTCCACCTCCGCGGTGCCGATCCGATGCCCGGAGGTGTTGAGCACGTCGTCCACGCGGCCCGTGATCCAGTAGTAGCCGTCCGCGTCCCGCCGGGCGCCGTCCCCCGTGAAATAGTACCCTTTGTAAGGCTGCATGTAGACGGTCAAGTAACGGGCGTGGTCCCCGAACACGGTCCGGGTCATGGAGGGCCAGGGCCGTTTCACGCAGAGGACGCCCTCCACGTCGTTCCCCGCCAGCTCCTGCCCCGTGCTTGGGTCGATCAAGGCCAGCTCCACCCCGTAGAAAGGCAGCGTGCAGGATCCCGGTTTCATGGGGGTGACGCCGGGGAGGGGGGAGGCGAGGTGCCCGCCCGTCTCCGTCTGCCACCAGGTGTCGACGATCGTGCACCGCGCGTTCCCCACGTGCTCGAAGTACCACTTCCAGGCCTCGGGATTGATGGGCTCTCCCACGGAGCCCAGGACCCGCAGGCTGGACCGGTCAAAGGAGGCGATGTCCTCGGTGCCGTACCGCATCAAGGCCCGGATGGCGGTGGGCGCGGTGTAGAACTGCGTCACCCTGTGGCGTTGGATCAGGTCCCAGTACCGGCAGTGGTTCGGGTAGGTTGGGATCGATTCGAAGAGAAGGGTGGTGGCACCGTTGACCAAGGGCCCGTAGACGATGTAGGAATGCCCCGTGATCCACCCGCAATCTGCCACGCAGGCGTACACGTCCCCCTCTTGCAAGTCAAAGACTGTCTTGTGGGTCATGGCCGCGAACAACAGGTAGCCCGCCGTCGTATGGGCCACGCCCTTGGGCTTCCCCGTGGACCCGGAAGTGTACAAGATGAAGAGAAGATCTTCGCTGTCCATTGTTTCTGCGGGGCAGTAGGGTCGCTGTTGCGCCATCACCTCGGACATTTTCACGTCGCGCCCCGGCACCCAGTCCACCGGCGCGCCTGTCCGCTCGAAGACAAAGCAATGTTGCACGCTCGGCGCCTCCTTCAAGGCCTTGTCCACGATTTGCTTCAAGGGCAGTGTTTTCCCCCCCCGCTTTCCTTCGTCGGTGGTCATGACCCACTTGCTATTGGTATCGTTGATGCGGTCCCGTAAAGCCTCCGCCGAGAACCCCGCGAAAACCACCGAGTGAGGCGCTCCGATCCTCGCACAGGCAAGCATGGCCATCACGACCTCAGGAACCATGGGCAGGTATAGCATGACGACGTCGCCCCTCCTCACTCCCATGGCTTTCATGGCGTTCGCCAGCCGGCATACGTCCCGGTAGAGCTCTTTGTACGTGATTGACCGACAATGCCCGGGCTCGTCCCCTTCCCACAGGATAGCCACTTGATCCTGACGATGCGGGAGATGCTGGTCAATGCAGCACACGGAGGCGTTCAACTTCCCGTTCAAAAACCAGGCCACATCGCCCTCAATGAAGGAGCCTTGCGAGACCCGGTCAAAGTCAGAGAACCACTGAGAGGTGTCAGAGAAAAGCGAGCGGGGGACAGAGACTGAATTACAAGATAGTCACGTAGCCAATATTGCTCAGACAGTTGAGACAGGACGGCTGCGAAACATCTCCTGGGAGGGCGCTCGGTCTTCAGTATACCAAAGACCTCCTCATCCTCCCTCCCCCATTTAAAAGGACATGACTACTTCGATCTCGCGGAGCCAGGACATCGTTGCAGCCTTCAGTGACATTACCTTGAGATATTTATGAGCCTCTCTTCTCCAAAATTCGTCAGAGTTTTCCAGGCTATATTGGTGCAGCTCCTGGTATGACAGGATAGAACAAGCGTTATCCTTGACGCGGTCAGCCAAGGCCAAAGCCATTCGAAACCTTAAAAACGTACCTTATATTGTGCTAATTGGTGAACAGGGGCAATAGGTTTGACAATTGTATGCTCTTGCACATGGATTCCCGGACGTGGAGATACCATTGCCTGCATGGCCTTTCGTGTAGGACGGGTGGGCGAGCCACGACCGTGCGACGCTGTATAGATAATCAATGAATCAAATGCTCAAAATAGAAGATAATGCAACTAACAAATAATTTCCATAGTTCTGATAATATGCTTGAACGGAAGCGTGCGACAATGATGGTGCCCGGCTTGCTCTGGCCTAAATTAGGCCTTCTAGCTAGCTCCGGCGGCCGCAGAAGCAACGGAAACGGCGGCTCGCTCAGCCGTTAGATGACGCCCCAACCCCACGCCCCCTGGCCCCGTAAAAATAAGAGGTATTAGACCACGTACTGGCTGGGAACGTGTTATACGTGGCGCTTCCGCTCGTGAATGATAGTATGACTCAGTCCTGGCCTCGTTTTGTGGGTGTTCCATCGTCTTACCAGGGATCTTTGCTTCTTTTCTTCTCTTGGATCGCTTTTGACGGTATCTGGAGCCAACATCATGTTGCAGTATCACCTCCTCCTCCTACCTCTCCTGATGCTGCCTTGGGCAGGATGGACTCAAGCTGCATTCGTTACTCCAAGAGTTGGAGGCCCAAGATCTTATGGTGATGGAAGAAAATACAGAGTCGGGTACGTACTTTCTGTTGTGGTAGAAAAAAATTAGCCATCATTAATCTTTCCCCTGCCACTCAATGTTGTCAAGTGTGCCATTCTACTCGTCAATCGACGAGGTAGACAGTCCTATCTACACCACGGCATCACGATCCAGAAGGCAAGGTGAAAGCCACATGATGGTATTCGATTTTATTCGAAAGCGGGCAGAAGAGGGAATACAACAAGTACAAAACATCGCTACTAAAACTGCGGTGCGTCCCATCGACGGTCCCCCACTTCTATTTTCCTTTTCATAAAAATCTTAAATCAGACGCGCACTGCACCTATGTTTTCTAAGAGTAACACCCCTTTGCTTGCTCTTATCGGCCCCTTCCTCCCTATCTGTCCTCTTTGTCTACCACAAAAGGAGGGGAAGTTTGTGGAAGCTCTAGGCGACACAGCCTCCTACGTCAAAAAGCGACAGGAAATCGACGCTGAGAACCTTGCGAAGCTTCAAGAAGGCTTAGCAAAGAGCAGGCAGCGTCTGATGGGGGACTTGGATGTGATTTTTGGTGTGAGCGAGGATGTGGGCCTCACGAAGACTTTGGATAAGGTGGGGCTGGGGAGGAAAGAAAGGAAAAGGACAACCCCTCTCCGTCTAAAAATGCTGATCCTATGCTCTTGTGCTTCGGTCTCTCTATTTTCCGCATTCGCAGCTGGAGGAAGTGCTGATGATGTCGGACATAGGGGCGGCCACGACGGGTGAAATCATCGACGACCTCCGCATGGTCGCCAAGGCCGAGAAACTGGAGCCTGACGACGTCAAGTCTGTCCTCCGTTTGCGTTTGATAGAGGCGTTGACGGCCAAAGATAGGAGTATGCAGTTGAAAAAGGAAGCGTCCGCGGGGAATGGAAAGGTATTGTCGGGAGGGAGGAAGGGAAAGAGGGAGGGAGGGAGGGAGGGACGTCTATCTTGGATGAATCGCGGCGCAAAGCAGGGAGCTGCCGCAGAGAACTGAACAGCAGGATATAAAATTCTCATGTGAAGGAATGGGGGCGCATCAACTCCGTCAACCTCCATTCTCGCACAAACCCCCCTCTCGTAGAGCTACCCTCGTGTCCTCTTCGTCATCGGTGCGAACGGGATGGGCAAGACGACGACGATCGGGAAGATCGCCTCCCGCCTCAAAAATGAAGCGAATCAGAGTGTGCTGGTTGCCGCCTGTGACACTTTTCGCGCCGCCGCTGTCGACCAGCTGGAGGAGTGGACGGTGCGAGCCGGCGTGGACATCCACCGGCCAGGGGAAGGGCAGACGAAACCCGCGCCCGTGCTGGAAGAGGCTATCAGTAAGGCGATCGAAGGAGACTACGACGTGCTGATTGTGGACACGTCTGGGCGGCTTTCAAATAACGTGGCCTTGAACGAGGAGCTCAAGAAGTTGAAAAGGACCATCGCGGACGGCATCCCTGGTGGCCCGCATGAGACCCTACTCGTCTTAGACGGCGCCGTGGGCAGGAATGGGGTAGATCAGGCAAAGGTCTGGAATCGAGAGGTTGGAATCACGGGGTTGGTCATCACGAAACTTGACGGCACGGCCAGGGGAGGTGTGGTGGTTAGCATCGTGAGGGACGTGGGCGTCCCTGTGAAGCTCATTGGAGTGGGCGAGGGGATTGATGACTTGCGGGATTTCAATCCAGAGGATTTTGTGGATGCTTTGTTGGGATATGAGGTGAGTCGATACCAAAAATGCACGAGCATTCAAACTATACTGCTGAATGGAGAGTTGTCGATGGATTGAATCACTAACCCAAGAGAGTGGTTTCCTTCTTCTCCCAGCCTGAACAGGTGCTGGCCTTGGAGGCCCGGCTTCAAGACATGGTTCAAGGCAAACTTATCAAGCCGAAGAGAGGGGTAATTGTACGCTCTGAAGGTGGTGGCGGCGATAAGAATATGGATGCAGACGATATCAGCGACAGGATGAGACGGAAAGTCCAAGGACGGGGGGGCCAGGGCGGTTCCTCCTCGCAGCGTGGAGGGGGAAAAGGAGGAAAAAGCGGTGGTGGCAAAAAAAAGAGGCGGTAAAATGAAAAATAGGGCTGTCTTATGTTGTAGACAACAACATCATATAATTTTTGGCTCCGATGTTACACAGCTCAGGTTTGCTTTTGGCCAGACACCATCCTCTTGACCTCCCCGCACCCTTTTTTGAAAAGTGCGTTTCAAGTCGTAACGGCTAGGTCTTTACCTGTGTAAGTCCCATGTACCCATGCCTTTGTTCTCCACACTCTCACAATCTCGTGTACAACCATTTAGCAACACGGAAAAGTGTCTCACAGCTTTCTAGCCAACAATCGGAGGAGCGCCGGCAGGTTTGCCGGTGGGCACGAAATTCTCGTCTCCTGGATGCGCAGCAGCATTTCTTTTTGCCAGTGAGCGAGGAACGTGCTTGCGAAGCCATGATGAAGCGGGACATCGTAGAGACAGACTATGATGCGAGCGATGAGGACAGCGACTGTGATAGTCAGGGCGAGGAGGGAATCGTGAGTGGGAGTAGGCCTTGCTTTTGCTGTCAAGTAGCAGACTCTCAGATCAAGAGAGTGAGTGGGCGACCCCCCCGTTTGCTCAACTTTCAGCAGTCCTTGTCCCGTCTGGCCATGATATCAACATACGTGTGCTTCATATTCCTAGCTGTGCAGCAAGTCAATTTTGTTCTCACCAACTCAACGGACAAGCATGAAATGGCCTGGACCATCGGTGGGGCTTTCGTTATTGCGACGGTTCCCATTTCACTCTTCCAAATCTTCCAGCACCTCTCCAACTTTGTAGAGCCCAAGCAACAAACTCATGTAATTCGAATGATCTCCATGGTACCGTTGTATGCGATTCAAAGTTGGTTCTCGCTCCGGTATCAGAGCTTAAGCCTGTACACGCAATGTGTGCGGGAAGCGTACGAATCCTATGTCATATACGCGTTCGTGCAATATCTCATCAATTACATGGGCAGCGAGGCACAGCTTATCAGAAAACTAGAAACCAAGCCTGCAGTCCTCGGTCGGCACATGGCCCCGTTCTGTTGCCTTCCTCCGTGGTCGATGGGTGCGGAGTTTCTGAAACGGTGTAAGGTAGGGGTGCTGCAATATCTGGGCGTGCGCCTAGCCACTCTTGTCTTAACGTTTGCCTTGGAATCCTTGGACCTCTATGCAGAGGGAGAATATACCGTCCGGCGCGGCTTTTTCTGGATGACTGTGGCGAATTGTATTTCTCAGACCTGGGCTCTCTACATCCTGATCCTGTTCTACCATGCCACCCACAAAGAGCTGATTTCCATCAACCCTTGCGGAAAATTCTTCTCCGTCAAATCTGTAGTTTTCGCGTCCTGGTGGCAGTCCCTTCTGATCGGACTGATGGTGCACCAGGGGACCATTGGAGAGCTCGACAGTCATTCGGCAGAGATGGTGGCCAAGGCCATTCAGGACCTACTGATTTGCACCGAGATGTTCATGGCAGCGATCGCATTCACTTTCGCTTTTCCCGTCTCCGATTTTGTCTCCCCAATCGAGCCTCCATATTACAAAGACCCTGGTTCAGATGCCCAAGACTCGTTCTGGGAGGGGGAGGGGGCGCTTCACAGGAGCTTGGGCGGGGTGGAGGGAGGTGGCCCTCTGAACTTGATGGGGGACGAGAGCCCTACGGATACCGTATCTTTGCTGAAAAGTGGTAGCGCAGGCACTGGGGAGATGCGGAGGGGGATGACTGGGGCTGGAAAGGGAACCGTTCCTAGCTTCTCGGCAGGGCAGCATGCCTACCAACAGAACGAGGGAGGTGCGCTAGGTCGGGGGTCGAGTGTAGGAGGAGATGGGGGACACGTGTCCACGATCTGGTCGGCTTTGTGGACGAGCTGTGTGCCCATGGATGTGCGAGAGGATTTCAAGCTAGCCACGCGGCAGATAATGGAGGACTGTGCGTGTCTGAAACGGGGAGGCGGTGGGGCGCCCGGTGGCGTCGGGCTGCTTTGGGGGCCATGCCGGTGCCGGACCCGATGTGGTCAAGCAAAGGCACACCGAAGCAGTAGCAGCGTTAACGTCGGCGGTCGAGAGAGTGGAATTGGGAAAAGAATGGCAGGGAGGCATTCTTCCGCCGCCCCAGCGTCCCCGTCTACCGTTGTTCTCAGCCTTGGAGGCATTGGAAGCGCCGCCGGAGGGGCAAGCCTGAGTCTCGGCCGGGCGGCTTCTGGAGGGGCCTCGAATCTCTCTCATGCTCAGGGTGGAAGTGCATGCTCCTCTATGCCTGTCGGCGACAGCGGCTCGTCAACGGCATCATCTTCCTTGTCACAACTATTTTCCTCCTCACGGCAGATGCTCGTATAGCTAGAGCAGAGGGAAATGGTAACGGTACTGTAGCAATTAGAGTTCGTAGGGCGGGATCTTTCTCTGCCAAACAACTAAGAAGACCTTTTACACCTTGTCGAAGCAATCATCTGACAGCAAAGTACTTTCAACGCCTACCAAACTATGTATTTTATGTTCATTTTTCAAGAATGATATGCATCAATGGTTCTCTTCTAAAAGTCATGCTTTCCATGCACTTTTTTTTCCCATGTAGATATCATCAAGACCTGATAGTCAGGTCTGTTTATTTCCCCCCATGTAGACATCATCATCAAGACCTGATCGTCATGTCTGCATGGTTGTACAAACTGTTACACTCCCTTTTGAACTGTTAGGGTTCCCTCATGTGTCAAGATTTTAAGGCAAGCGCTCTGCTCCACACAGTCTTGAAGAAAGCTTCCCGTTGACTAGGAGCGCCGAGTCTTAAAGAAATAAATGATTGATCGCCTCTGCGCTCAGCTCTCCGGACGATGTCACCGCATCATGGTGAACCTGTGCTTTCTCGAACAATTCGTGAGCTCGACGACTGCTCTGCTTACGCTCCGACGATAGGCGTGGTGGCTGGACGTGCATTTTTGGTGGTCCACCACGCGCTCCTCGTGCTACCCATCGGCCCTCCTGGTCGTGATGGAGGAATGGCCCTTCTCGTGAGGCTATGATTAACAGTTACCATGCATGTTTACCAACGATTCAGTTTCATTACCTCTTCATTACGCAATGACTCTTCTTGCTGAGAAATGCCATCTTGAATTCGTGAGGGTGGTAGAAGAGGAGAGAGCCTCTCCATCTCTTCCTCCTGCTGCCCGGAGAGTGACGACCCCGGATAGTCGCTCGAGGAGGTATCAATACTACTTGTCTCGTCATTTCTGGGCAAATCGTCTCTTGCGCCCCTGAATCTTCCATGTTGAGTGGTCTGTAATCGTTGCCGTTCCTCCGCAGTTATCTTCAGAACAGTATCGCAGATGCGGTGATTGCACAAATTGTCCAAACTTATCCCCCATGGGGGCACAGGCGCACAATCTCCGTACGCAATCGCAGTAAAGCGTCGAGCCGACTCGTATATTTCCTTATCCCCGCCCAGGTATGAAAATACCGCCATGGCATGGAAGTGATGGAAGTTGGGGAAAATTCTCACCACGCCCGGGCAGCGGACGGCTTCTTCCAGCAAGGGCTGCATCATCTCTAAAACCAGTTTCACCGCCTTTCCCCTGGTCCCAGCGAACAATACAATCCCCCGCAAGCCTCTTATGTAGCAGAGGGCCCCAGCGGAGGAAGCCGCGGGGCTCAAGTAGAGCAGGCGATCGGCATGTTCCAATGCCGGCGCCACCTGGTCGGGCCTGAAGGGCCGTGGTATGCCCTGAAGTTCTCCGCGCAATTGATTACGGAGCAGCTGTAGCTTTGTGCGCGCGAGCAGGTAGATCATTTGGATGTGGGCGCTTTTGGAGGACATATCCACGGCGCAAACCTCCTGCCATTGAGCTTCCAGGATGCGTACTACGAGGGGAACGAGGCGGGGACAAAGTGTGAGGACGACTCGGACCAAAATGCACGGCAGTGACTGCGGTTCCGCCTGCCTACCGAAAACGAAAAGGGCGATAGAAAGAGAAAGAAAGCAGACATGGAGATTACTTACAACTTGGGTCGTGTCCGACCCGCAAATAAAGGAGGATAGCCTCCAATTCGCACGAAAGGCTGGGGCCCAGGGCGACAGCGATGCTCTCCGCCATCGAAATGTAACGACGGTACCGTAGGAAGTCTCCGTGCATCATGTATACAAGGGCCATGGCAAGATTTGCCGAGACCGTCGCCGGGTGTAAGGCGTCAAAGCACTCCTTCATGGAAGACCAGGCCAGGCCGGTGTACCTCTCCACGCTCTCCGTCAGATTCAAGAGGAGAGCACCGACAGCGATACCCGCCCACACCGTTGCATTGTAGATGTTCTCCAACTGTGCGGCGCACACGTTGCCCGCAATCTCGGGAGGCATACTTGGAAGCAGGGGGGCGGGCGTTACGGGGGGGAGGGCGCGCCGGCCGTAAGTGCGCACTTGGGACAGGCGGCCCAACATAAGTCCCTCGTCCACCATAGGCAAGAAGGCGTTCACCTCCGCCAAGAATATTCTCAGGAAGTGCTCTTCAGTGGCGCCCACGAATGAGTCTAGGGCGCTATCGTCGGTCGATTCGGATTGCAAAGAGGAGTCGAAAGCCAATGGCTGCAGCTTAGGAAAATGCTGCCCCTCGTTCGTCAAGAGAATCTGCTCCCTCAACTCCATGGGCGAGCCTGGAAAGGTTTTGACCCCGTCATCGCTGTATGCAGACGAGAGGGAAGGCAAGGGCCAGGACGGGGACACGGAGCCCTGCAGGCGCGGGTCCTTCATTGGATGAGGGAGACGGATCCCGGCAAAGGTGTCTTCTATGTGCGATACCGAAGACTTTTCGAGTGTTCCCAGTGAGCCAGGGTACGAAGGGGCAGACCCAAGTGAACGCGTACAGCTGTTGGTGCTAATATCATCCAACTTTGGATTGACCTGCCCATCGTCGATTGCCGTTGAGGCGCTTCTCGATGCTCGCTCGCTTCCTGAAGCGGAGGATGGCCTGTCATTCGACCACGGTATTAGGCCGTCAGCTGAGGAGAGTCCTTGCAATTCCGGGTGGTCGTCGGCAGCCGTACGTATTTTGGGGCCGGTCCGTCTTCTTTCAGAGTAGTGGCAAGCATACCCTCGCCTGACACAGTTCTGACATGCTGCCAGTCCGTCGCAACGCTACGCAAGAAGTGACGAGAAGTGAGAGGAATGTTAGAAGCGCAAGCCCCACATCATCAGTGGTGTCGCCTGGTCTGTGGACATTTTCATGTGGAATGATGGTGGATGTGGCAAGACTCAAGAGCAGTGGGAGGCATACACGGCCTTCATAATACCCGAGCGACCTTCGCCTTCGACTGACTTACAATCTTCTTGGATGTACACCTGTCGCAACTCCGCCGGAGTTTCTTCCTCGACCGGTCCGTAGGAGATATCATGAAAGGAGCTGTATTGATGCGGGAGCGGTGGTAAGACGGTGGTGAATTTTTGAAATCTTCACTGAGGGCTCTCCGTAGTTATCGGCGCCGGCAGATTTGAGCAGTGAGATGATCGGCTAGCGAGACCTGGCACGAATATGCCACAATCCCCAGGAATAAACACGACATGCCCGTGTCTAAGCGAATTCAGTGGCTTTTTTCGGCATGGGCATTTTGGCGTCTATTTCATGTCATGACGCGGGTGTCCATTCACGCATGTTCGCGCATGTCATGCGTCGACGGTTCACCCTCCACGCGAGAGCGAATTTTCGGGTCGTTATGTCCGACAACTCTGGTTCAATATTTCTACCGACAGAACTCGTGACGGCCTATGATGAGACTCGTCCGGAGAGAGACAAAAGACGTTTATAAGCAGACAAGCCACGCAAGTCATGCGAAGGTGCATTTGTTTTTTCCGGGACTTGATATTTTTTTCTGTCTCTGCAAGACGGGGAGCTGAAGCGCGAAGACTGATACCGGGAGACAGCACGGTAGCGTCAAATCCTCTCAGACAGTGTGCATACAGAGTGCAGCTTCCACTTTCCTCTTCAACCCTTTCAATTTTTTCCTTTCTTGTAAAGAAAAAAAAGCGTGGAGAGTGCGCGTGCGGCCATTTACCACGGCCGTCATCGGACGTTGTCGTCTATGGCCCGCCGTTTCCCGGTAGAATAAGCTGAAATAAAATTTCGAATCCCAAGCGAAGTAATCATCGAAACTTATCAGCTATGAAAGCCTACCAATCAGTATCGTGTTGTCATCTCATGTTGCTACTGTAACTCATGCCTTAGATGTTTTCGTGCTCGTCCTCTTCTTTCCTGCTTGAGTCTAAGGGGGTTACCTCAATTTTGTGCGTTTTGGGTCCTCTGGCCATGGCTCGGACTGGAGATGTCAATACGTCTACCATCCTTGAAACCTGTCACTCGCAATCAATGGCAGACATACAAAAGTTTCCTGCTTCATGTCTGCATGTAAACTGTCACTGCTGCATCTGCGCGCGCTCACAATGACAATTTTCTTGTCTTAAATACCCCTGTCATTCCTCGCCCTTGCTCTTCTTTTTCTTCTTCTTCTTCTCCGCAGCCTCGGGTGATGAGGCACTTCCTTCAGCAGGCCGCTTCTTTTCCTTCTTCTTCTTCTTCTTTTTCGCCTCTCCGCCATTTCCTTCGTCACCGCTTGTTGCAGCCACCATCTCCTCCGCGGCAACTGCCTTTTCCTTCTTACTTTTTTTCTCCTTCTTCACCTCCTTCGCTTCTCCGCTTTCCACCCTTTCTCCCGCACCCGATTGAGCCGCAGGTCCATTTTTCCCCTCAAATGCTTCCAGGTAGTCTTGGGGCGTTTCCGCGTTCGGTCTTCCATGCTTGTCCAACTTCCCTTCCTTCATCAGCCCTTTCTTCTTCGTCGCCACCGGGCCCAACCCCCACCGCCGTGGATAGGTGTCCCGCTCCATCACCACCCGCTTGATCTTCGCTACCATCCCATGGTCGCAGGTCGCCATGACCGCTGTGGTCATCTGGGCGATGCCTACGGCGATGGCCTCGCCCTTTGTCGTCACCATCACGACCTCGTCGTTGACCTCAATGCCGTCCGCGAAGCGAAGCAGGCCAGGTATCATTAGACGGGCCCCGTAACATATGGCGTTCACCGCGCTGTCCTTCACCACAACCCGCTTCGTATTCGCGAATAGGATTTCCAAGGGCAAGACCGCCCGCCGAAGGTACGATTCATCCTTATACGTATCGTAGGCATATTGAGCGTCCAGCACATCATGCATGGTCATGAGATGGTCGTTCTCCGTCAAAACCCCCGATCTGACCCGTCGAAGTTCCTGCATATGCCCCCCGGTGCCCACCAGCAACCCCAGATGCACACACAGCGTCCGTATGTACGTTCCGGCCTCGCAGCTCACCCAAAACACCCCCAAATGCCGCTTCTCGTCGTATTCTAACAGTTTGCTCTCGTAGATTGTCCGAATGCGGAGCTGCCGTTTGACTGCGGCGATAAGGGGTGGTCGTTGGAAGAGAGCGCCGGTCAGGGTCTCAACCGCACGCACCAGCTTGCTCTCCCCTTCGATGGCACCGTGCAAACGAACCACGCCCACGTATTCCTTTCCTGCACCCTGTTGAGCTTTGACCAACCGCGTGGCCCTGTCTATGCACACGATCAAACAACCCGTGACCTTGGGATCCAACGTGCCGGAGTGCCCGGTCTTCTCCACACGCAGAATCCGCTTGATCCACGCCACCACCTCGTGCGACGACGGATTGGCAGGCTTGTCCAAATTGATCACACCGTATCGCAAATATTCTTTCAGTGGCCGCTTGAGGGGCGACGACCCCATAGGGATGGGAGTGTATCGCGCCGTTCGGACATGCAGCTGGTCATAATTTTTAAGGAGTAGGGGCCAAGTAGACGTATCCAATTTGGGCGTCGCGGTCTCGGGTTTAATCATAAATTCTGTGGATGGTAGACCGGTTGCGGCTGCGGCCTCTCCATTCGCCGCCGCGGCTGCCTTCTTGTCCTTCTTTCCCATTCCTACAGTTGCTATGCCGTCATGGGGATGGGAGAGAACGTCAGGGTGAATCTCACGATGCGACACAAAGTGGGACATCATGCCAAGTCGGCAGCAATCCCAAGAGGAGACGCTAAGTATGCGGTTCTACATTGATCAGTCCATGTTTTGCGGCTTTGCCAAAGTATGTGCAGGCGTCTGAAGCTGGAGCAGGACGCCGAGTGGTAGTATCTTCGATCACGCCGGCAGCCGGCTTACTTGTCTTTACAGAAAACCCTCGCCATGAGACACCATGCGAAGGATCGCGCAAGCAACGGAAGAAAAGCCAGTACTGGATACTATGTGGGTAGTTGCCCACAGTCACTGGTTTGAGCAAAGCGCCTGGAAGACCTAAATCTACCCTAACCATTGCTTCATCCGCAGCTGTTTCCCTCGCTTAACCCTCGCCTTTCTTCCGATCGCTGTGGCAGTGAGCACAAACGCCAATGTGCCCGCTGAGTTTTCTCGTTTCGAATGTCTTTGAAAGGTATGTCTTCATCTGTGCCTTACGGCAGCTTAACGAGTCTTTTGGTGTCACAACAGCCCTCTGCAGTCTCACGAGTCGTTTAACCTCCTACAATCGAACTCCCGGAGGGCCGTGCACAAACCTTACCTCACCGGTAGACTTCGTTATGTCCTGTGATTGGGCACCAGGCGGTCTTAGAATCACAGAATCTCTTTTTGGGAAGCAAGGCGGTATTGATGGTATTTCTGTTCACCGTTACGACTGCTCGAATGGCCGCGTCCACGTCTCCTTGCTTGATTTTGGTGCCACTCTGTTCTCGGTACAAGTTCCTGACCGTGATGGAAAAATTGAAGAAGTGACCCTGAATGTCACTTCTTTGGACCAGTTGCTCCACAAAAACATGTATTTCGGGTCGACAGTGGGTCGGGTGGCAAATCGTGTGGCGAATGGAAGATTCACTCTGGACGGAAAGGTGCGTCGATTGAGTTAGTGATGCGAGAAATGATATAAGTTCTACCAACGCGCTCAAATATTGTTTTTCAAGTGATTATGGCTACAGAACGGCCGTCGATTTTCCCCTTCGTACTGCGTGACATGCGCTTCTTGATTGCCAATGCGCATTTATTTGTGCCGACATTGATGAGCTGCATTAATAGAATGTTCTGTTTGCATTTTGTCTTCCATACATTATATTTTCACCCTCAAGGTTTATACACTTGCCAAGAACAATGCACCAAATCATCTTCACGGCGGAAAGGAAGGATTTGACCAAAAGATATGGAAAGGTTACCCTTTTACTTCGGCTTCTGCTGTGGGCGTGTGTTTCACTCTGGACAGCCCTGACGGTGAAGAGGGTTATCCCGGTAACGTGGCGATACAGGTGCGTCTTAAGATATAATATCACAAAAAAAATATTCGAAGGAGATTTTGAAAAAATGGGCTTCATAAAAAGTATTTATAGGGTTTCTCGGTCGTTTACCTTATCTCTAAACGGGTCTTTATCTATGTATTGGAGGTTAATTTTCGACACTTAATACCTACATATATTTTAACAATTTCTCGTCTGAGGCAGGTGACCTACAGCCTTTTGGCCGGCGAGGATGTCTTGGAGATGGACGTGAAAGCCGAGACAGACGCAGCAACGCCTTTAGCCTTGAGCAATCACGCATATTGGAATCTAAGCGGGAACCTGAAAAATAAGGTGACTTGGCTTTTATGCAGGGACATTTCTTCTTCCTCTTGTGTCAGAAATATTCTTCTTCTCGCTCTTCTCTTCCATCCACAATCCTCCTTCTCCATCCCTCCCCTTTTTCCCACTTAAGGGATATGCTTCTGATATGCTTCCCTTGTCTCTTTCCGGGTTTCGACATTCATTAAATAACTATAATTTGTCGTAGATCTACGACCATAAGCTTCGTGTGGCTGCCTCCAGCATTTTGGAGGTCGGACCGCACCAGATCCCTACAGGAGTTTTTCAACCCGTCTTGCAAACGCCTTTCGACCTGCGCGCTGAAGAAGGGATTATCCTTGGCGATCGCATCCAACAAATTGACGGGGGTGGGAAACCAGGCTTTGACCATTGTTTTGTCGTGGACGGCTACGACAGGGCAGCATCACGAGAGAAGTCAGAACATATGAGGGATGCGGAGGACGAGGTGCAAGAAAAAGGTAGTCCGGAGAGTTGGATTCGTGCCCGCGCCCGTTTTATGGCAACTCTCGTCGATCCTAAAAGTGGACGGGCCATGGACGTCCGCGGTACCCAGCCAGGTCTTCAAGTATACACCGCGAACTGGTTAGACGAAGAAGATGGGCAACAACATGCTGCTGTATGCTTAGAGACTGAATTCTTTCCAAATGCCGTAAATGATCCGAAAGTAGGCTCCGTAGACGATGTTATCTTAAGGCCTGGTCAAATATACAGACACTTCACATCCCACCGTTTCTACAACTCGCCGAAGCCGTGATACGCGTCGTACGTAAGAGGAAGCAGCAAAGAAATTTGAATTTTTAACGGCTCTCAACGGCCCGGGAGCACTGAGCGGCTCAACTGCATTTGTCGCCGTCCCTCGGGGAACTTCCTCTTACGCAGCCCCTGATCCCATTCCTTCGCATGTAGTGAGATCCAAAACGTCCAAAATGTAAGAGATGCTGATATTTACCTCACTAGCAGCCCTTAGCCGCACATCACCCCCTAAGTCTTAATTGTGACGTAGGCTTGAACGATATGGATGGGCCGGTAGCTCGCATCCCTCGAGGTTGTTCGTTGTCTCACTCATAAACCCTGCGGGGACGGCCCATGTAACACTTTCAGACCTTTGGAAGTTATTTTCACAATTATGAGTCGACAGAGTGACACTCACTCCGCAAACTTGCTCGTGTCTGTAGTATTTGCTACCTGTTCAGTCACGTGCAACTCCGTCTCAAGGACATCTTTTGAGGCGGGCAAGCATCCTGTTCCTCGTGGCATCCTCTCGTCCCTACCGAGCAAGCAGCTCTCAAATAAAAGCATTCACTTCTTCCAACTCATTTCTTATAACATATCGGATGTTTCCACAATTTGCTACAGGACGACATCTTTTAGTCGGCTACTTCTTAAGCTTAAGAGGAACTCGAAAAGCGGACTCCCTCCCGTTCTTCGGTTCGATCTTCAATAGGTAAATTCCGTATATGCATCCCTCGAGCTTTTATGAATACGTTGTAATATATAAAGTCTCCTATGCTTCTTATGACGGCTTTTTATTCTCTGCCATTCATGATGCTTTGAAAGACCGTCATGTCCTGCTTCGATAAAGGAAGGTATCATGCTATCCGCATTTGTGCCCGGTTTTCCATACGAGCTATGAGTCACCTGCGTATCTAAATGTTTGTATTATTATACAATCCCAGAGAATATGTCCTCCCGTAAAGATGAATCCATTGCGGTCATCGGCGCCAGCATCGTCTTGCCCGCCAACATCCACGACCGAGAGAAGTTCTTTGAGATCGTACGAGCTAAGAATCAGGTCTCAGTGGACACGGTAGCAGCCCAGCGCTACCATGCTTCGGACATCGATGACACAGATATGAACCACCCATGGAAATTGAGGTCGAAGTACTCCATGGTTTTTACCGAGGAAGAGGTATGCGGCGTGGTTTACTAGGGCGGGGTGTCGTGGGAACGGAATGAGAGCCTCGCTTTTATCAATGCATTTATCCTAGGTACGCTAGTCCACTCACATCCTCATCATGATTCTTGTCTCTCCATTCCAAATGATACAGTTGAATTGCTACGACTCCCACCTATTCAACATCCAAGGTAAAGTCTCTCGCAACATGCATTTGCAGCAGCTCGGTGTGCTGCAATCTGTATTCCAAGGCCTTGAAGACGCCGGTATCCCCTTGCACGAGATCTATCGAACTCGTACTGGTGTCTTCGTGGCCGCGTATACGGCTTTCTTACCCGCTTGTGACGGCCCCGACGAGACCCTACTCCGAGGCCAGATCATGTCCTCCCTTGCCGACCAAGTCTCCTATTTCCTGGGCACCTACGGACCCTCTGTCACCCTTGAGACTGCCTGCTCCTCTTCTCTGGTGGCCATTGCCATGGCCGTGGCTTCTCTGCAGCAGGGAGACTGCGACACCGCGTTGGTGACGGGTTTGAACTACTTGAACGAGAAAGACTTCCACCTCTCCCTCCAAGCCTGTGGCGTCATGGTCCAAGGCCCCACGTCGCATCCCTTCGACGAGGACGGCGCCAAGGGCTACATCCGCGGGGAGGGGATGGGTACCGTTGTCCTCCGTCGCTTGGTTGATGCTGAGCAGCACGGGGATCGGATCCTGTGCAAGGTCTTGCGGGCCATCGCCGCCTCGGCCGGCCCTGCAGACAATGCCCTTGAAGG